GCACCCACGCCCATAGGACGGAGATGCAGGTGGTGCAATGGTTGCCACAATGATTGCTCTTGGGCAATTTGTCTCAACAACACTGGCATCAGGATCATTCGTCACCCACACACTCTGTGTGACTAACTATTTTGCCCAAATTCTTAGCACCAGGTATAGAGCAAGGTTTTAAGGTTTGTTCGTCGACTGAGGGTCGGAAAACCATGACTACAGTAGTTCGCGGCTCACGTGGTTGTTGCCTCTATCGAGAAGATCGGCTTCATCAAACTTGAATGCGTGGCCAGTTCCTGTTAAATGAACTGCGATATGAGGTATTCGAGAGAGAATACGAAATTTCAGGCGCTTCTTCGAGAGAGATAACCACGATCCTGTAATACGCGATCGGTGGTAATGACAATTCTTCGTTATTTGATTTTATTAACTTATTTGATTTAATTTATTTGTCAATTATCACACTTTTCTGTGGTTCGTTTGTATTAGCCTTCATAAAATTTTACCTACTATTTCTTGTTTTCGCTGATATAATTTTTTATTTTCTCTCCTTCGTCACCGTACTGCCCCTATTACCATTGGTCCCATACTGCAGAATTCCGTGGCTTGGTTTTCCTAGTGAGCCCTCAAATAGACTGTTATCTCCAGCAGCAACCACGTCTCTTGCTTCAAAAAGCAATGCAACCAGTCACAAGAGACCAATGCATTTTGTCTACCGCTATTAAAACAAGAGGCAAGGAAATGTGGCAGGCAAGCACAGCGACTCACTTGACCTGTGAAGTGGCGGAGGGCGGTATCATAGCCAGCTGGTAGAGTATCCGGCCGACAGAGTTTCATCAAGGCCTCCGGAGAACCCTTGCAAAAGACCGATATAACACCGGCAGTTGGGTCGTGGACACTGAATGGCGGTCCCACCGCCGACTGGACGACCACAGTCTGCCGTTGGTTTGCGGAGGAGAAGGGAAACTGTCTAAGAAGGCCAACGTGATTCCAGGAGCTAGCGTCTGTGTGGGGTTTCTAGAAGGTCGTCAGATTACGAGCAATATTAGGGTTATCGGCTGCAGATGCTGCTATACAGGAGTTGCTGGCTAACGACGGGTAAATAACCATGTGATCCATGCACCCACGTTGTAAATTGAAAAGATAAATGCCGACTGTGGATAAAAGCAGATATTGGAATTTTGGTGGGGTAAGTATTATTTTTATGGAACAGATTGAGATCCTCTTGACGTTGGTCTTGAAATTATGCTTTTAGACGCGGGCTCTACTCTCATTGGCCTGAGGCTCGTTTTCAATTTAAAAACGTTTGAGCTGTTCTACAATTAACTATGAAGACCGAATGAGTTGAGATACCTCTATTAGCTAATTGCAGCAAGCAACTTCCTGTCTTTGTTGTGCGTCCACTTCTGCTTTGAGTAGAATATTCATCAGTCCTAATAATATTACCGACGAAGAAAATAAGCAGTATGCAGAAAGTAAGGAAAAACACCAGCTAACACAAGAATTACATTTACCGGACGCTTTGAAGTGATTAAAAAGCCCATAATCAGAGAAGACCATGGAGGAAGCGTTAAAGGTAGTTTAAGTAGTGCACCTTGCAACCTCAGTCTTACGGGACCGGTGGGTTTGCGGGTTTTAAGGGTGGGGAAACAGAATGTGAATGGAAGAGAAATTGTAGAAATAAGTCGAAAAGTCATACATTTTTGTTGAAATGGTTCACTATGGCCGCTGCATAGTGACGGCGTACGGCGCGTAATTTCAAAAAAATGAACGAAAAAGAGCGTTTTATAAATAAGAAGTAATTGAATAAACCGCACAGCGAGGGGTAATTGTCCATGAGAGAACGCGACGAAAATGAACTTCGGAGAGAGAAATTTACACATAA